ACACCGACAATTATGGACACACATTTGATTGGAACAACGTGGAAATACTAGGTAGGGGGAGGACAAAGAACACTAGAGAATTTTTAGAAGCTTGGCACTCAGGTCAATTAGCAATCAACAAACACATCGACATTGACCCAATTTATCGACCAATCAGGAAAATCATAGGTGACACTAGATCAAGAAACAGATCAAAAGAGGGAGGCAATCAAAACATAGTTGCAAACAACGACAGGTCAAATGTCAACAACAACCAATCAAGATCGAGGTTAGCAGAACAAGCTACAGGTCAAACGTGGAGAAATTCTAATGCTTCACTTCTATCTGAAGTTCGTGCTGATGATGTTGTTCAGAAGAACAATGAAAGCTCCACAACCAAAACAACCAGCTCAGAGAACGAAACACCACCACAATCATCCACCTGAGCTACAAGTTTTCTCCACCATCTCACTATCCCCCACATTATGAGTGTCTTAATTATTCAAAGCTGAATCATTTTCTTCCATTAACGTTTACATCACTTTTAGCTTTTATTCCTAGAAGACAGACAAACTGAAAAAATTCCCGCAGATACTGCTCAACTATCGTTGATCACAAGAAACCCGAACTATCTTGAGTTAGTGTGAGTTCCTTTTAGTTCATCTATTACCAGTACAATAAATTTTTATATCCCCGATTTATTACCATTAAAATACCTTGCTTTTTTATCTACCTATCACTCTACTCATGAATTTCCACATTCTTTGTTCAGTTATCTATCTTTCCGATCTACAAGCTACCTATTAACTAACCTATATCTTAATATTTATACCATTAGTTAGCTTAATTTCAGCTTTATATGCTTAAAGGATATACAATTCAGCATGTAGAAGTTTACGCTGTCTGTTTTCTTTGAATACGGGACTAGTAGAGACAGTGAAATTCCGAGGTGGGCAAAATAAAGTCAAACATCACAAAAGCAGAAAGCATGATGCATATGACCGGCAAATATGATGGCAGGGTGATAACCTCAATCCGCACATGTTTGTGTAGAAGGACATTTTATTTGCTTAAGGCTCCTTACAATCTGGAAGGATGTAACTAATAAATGATATTGATATTACTTCTCAACGTCACCATTATATAACAAATATATTATCAATAAGGTGCAAATATGGATGACAATGATTTCTCCACCAATGTGAAACATACAATAAATAAATATAAGGAACTTGTGGTGAGAGAAAGCTGTGATCGTATACGTTACAATCATTACATACGTTTGAATGAGACGCATTGAAAACTTTCTCCATGTCAAGCAGTAAAACCGACGACATCCATAGCTTTTCAATCATCTAATTGCCTTCCATATATACTGGATATAATTTCACATTCCAACTTCTCACCTGAAGTTAGCGTGACTCACTTACATTAGGTTGAAAATTGATTTAGAACAATAGAACTTATTCGACGACTGAAACAAACGAAATAGATAAAGAAACCTTTGGAGAGTATCTACTAATTTTAGACTTCTGAATTAGGCACCATTTAAGTTGGAAGTTGATTGTAGTCGACGTTCGCCATCCTTCTTGAACATGGATCTCACCGCTCACATAACTCGCTAGTTGACATTAAAATAAAAGCTTAACAAACTCCTGCTACGGGATGATGGTAGTTTTCAGACTACCAGGTGCAAAACATTAAGATGAAGTACTACAGTTTAGCCGACAACACATGAAGATAAATAAGTACTTGATACCACACAATAGTGTAACAAACAGCCATCCAGTTACCGAATATTTTCACTTTCTATCTCCAGAAAAACTTGCTAACACCAAAGATGAATTTCTGTATTTGGTCTAGTTGGAGATAGGTAATAATGTATAACTTGATAGCGTAAAAGTCCTTTTGTAATCAGATACTGATTCCAAATCGTAGGGACAATTTAATTTGCTATAGAATCTTTTCATTTTCCGTACATTATATTTTAGTTAACGCCATTTATACAATGGCTGTAATAAAAAGCCAACTACAGTTTATTTCGGATAAATGTTATTCATACATCCGCGTAAGCAGATAATCAAGAAAACGGATCGAAGCAAAGAGGGGAAAGTTAGTGCAACAACTCAATTGATGAGATATGACTGAGTATTTATAGTCAGACGAGAATAGGTTAGACATGTTCAAATGAAGTAAGCAATCCACTTACACATTTACAAAAAGGAAAACCAATTTTTATAAGTAAACAACTGACAAATTCGGAAGATATATGTATAAGAAAAGAAAAGAAAGGATTAATTAGTTTGTCCAAAGGCTGTGATTAGCCATGTGGGCCAATATAATAAGAGACATTACAGTTCAATCAAGGAGTAAAAATGCCTGGAAATTGTGATTCATAACAAGTTATAGTTCGTCACGTTACAGTTTATGATTAGATCATATCGACACGTACGCTGAGGTTAAAATTTCTTTTTTGAGAAAGGCGTTCCATTACATTGAATTCTAGCAGTTGGACGCTATTTAGTAAATTCGCATTCCATATTTAAAGCAAGGACTCACCTCTTGAATTTCGTTTGAGTTACCTTAAGTTGGTGTATTTTTCATAGCTGATTAATCCCGTTTATATACATTATCCTGCGGCCTATTCTTATTTCAAACATTACTTTCAACTGAGCATATAAATTTGTATATTAACCAAATACTGACCCGTCAGTAACGACTAGATTTATAGAACATGACTATGTTTGACTATCACTAACTACTCTGATTCCTAAATCTGTATCGATCAATAGCTTTGGGTAATTTCAAAGATCTATTTTAGGCAATTATTTGAATATCACAATTTGCTACATCCCCAGTATGTATATTTCTGTACAACAAAGCAATATCAACTGAATAGTGGACAGCGTTTTCATTTGTTTGGAAATCATACACTCAACAAGAACTTTCCAAATTTGAGGATAGTTCAATTTATCTGATCCAAATATACAAAACGTCCGAGAATACTTTTGTTCATACACTTATGTTCTATCCAGAAAGTGACAACCTCATTAATGCATTATAATAATTAGAAACTTTTGGCGACAAAATAAGATCAACATCCATTTGATGCAATCTCACCTTTTTAAATATTACATAGCTGACAAACAATATCATGAGTGTTTGAAGTCCACAACAGCAGCTCACTGTATATAAGACTGCAGACTATCACTTAATTGGTTGATTAAAAACAGTCACCCAGAATTGAGGCAATAATAACCACTCACAAAAGCGTTTCCCTTATGTTGTTATTTCATACACTCTACTTAACAGAATCAATAACCAAGTTTAACTAATTCTCAATGTTATATATCCTAAATCACTTTTTGATAGGATCTGAGATCTGTGCAGAAAAAAGTCGCTGGTGTTGGTCACTTTTGATAAACAGAGTACGGAACAAATTTTAACAAATATTTGGTTGATTAACGTATAGTTTAGCACAACTATAAGATGCATTGAAAACCAACCAAGTCTGATACCCAACCTTCAAAACTCCAACTGTCTGCTGGTATCCAGGTATAACATTTAACCTCTTGTGGTGGTACACCACCAAATTTCTGTATCAACAATAGACAAAACAGAAGTTTTACTATTATACATAAATATATATTCATTCAATTCATAAAATCCCTATAAAAAAAAACAAACACTGGTTGCGTAACAAATGAATTATTGGTTTAAAGAATAAAAGTGTATATATAAATGATGAATGCGATTAAAGCATATGAATCAGATATGAAAGAAAATACAATAAGATGACAACATAATACGAGGAAGCAATTTATATAAATGGCAAAAAAATACCGAACAAACACTACAGCATACACTCGAGGAGTAGTAGCAGTAGTAGTAAAGCTGAATGGAAAAAAAGCCCACAAAATGTATGAATGAATGCAGAAAGCAAGCAAGCAAGCAAGCAATGGCACATACAGAATACAAACAAACAGAAAAATATAGTCAATAATTTGTTCTGTTAGCACACAAAATAAAAGAACAATAAAAATGCAGTTGTTAATAAATGATGAGAAAGTTAATTCATTATTATTATTATGATTATAATTTGAAGAGATGAAATGATCTCATCATTGGGCAAAAATAGATCATTTATTTATCATCTTCTGGGAATAATAGCTAGCAACAGCAGCACACTCTTCACATAAGATGACATTTCTGTAATTAATGAAAAGAAAAAACAACAACAATGTAGATAAGACAATCATCATCATCAGTTAAAATTGACATGAAAACAAACATTGCATAGTGTCACACAATCAATGAACAAATACAGATTTCATATTACAAAATACAAGTTTATCAAAAACGGTTTCTAGCCGTACTCGGAGGAGTAGTAGCAGATGCTAACTGGGTTGGGCCAATTTACAAGACATTGACATATCAGTCAAAACATGTTGAATACTATAACCGATTAGGCCATTTTGACTGATTATTATGAAATAGTAAATAGTGTGTATTGCAGTAATCTGATTACAGTGTACCTTTGGATCAACAGCAACCACCAGTGCAAAGGCATAAGTTATTTTTCTGAGATATAGTCAGGAATCAAACGATAGATACACAGAGAAATCTTTACTAGCCTAATGGTTGTACAGTAAATTTGCATGTATACATACATATATGGATATCCCTTGCATTTGTAGGCTGAAAAAAAGCTCCGGGATATTGTAAAATGTATGAACAATGAAGTTGTAGTTTATTGACATTTAGAACAATTACATTGACTATTTAAAAACCTTTTCGCTTGATTATAAAGTCAATCAGTTACAACGTACAACTTCGTACGTACGTACATTAGTTTAAGTTGCCACAAGACATTAGCACACAGAGCCGTAATCGTCGATTCCAAATCCCATAGTAATAGAGATAGTAAAGGTATTTATTACCATTAACCAGGGGAGATTAGGGATATTTTCAACAAGAAGTATAATAATCTAGTGAAATAAATTTAACATTGTAAAACTAACCTCATCATGCGCACGAGCATTGGATTTACGATCAAAATTTACTCCAGCACGAACTTTTTCTCGTTTTACAGTGCATTTAGCTCGCTCCTAAAATAAATAAAAGTAAGAAAATGACCTAATTAGATTTAAAAAGACAACAGGAACATGTAAACTTTTGAAATCAACTCAATGATTACTATATAAAGCAATGAGTGATAGTTACTCCAACACATGAAGTCATTACTAACATTTGAATATACAGAAATATATCCTGACAGTTTTAGTATACAAGAAGTGAAAGCCAGTCAGCAGCAATGTAGAACTTGGCAAGTCCATCCATCAGTCCAAACTGCCATACCACATTAGTACAAAGAAACTGAGTAGTCAATTTAAATCCCATACGTATCGAAGGTGATAATGGTAATCGAAAAGATTAGGGATCGAGAAGAATAAACCAATGGAATAAATTTAAAAAGACGGTCATGAAGAATTCAGAAGATCAGAACTCGAGAGCAGACAAACAGTAGATGAGATGGGTTTCTATTCTTTGGAATACAAAATTTTGCTTCAGGACTGGCCTGCATTGGCACCTGCACTAGTAATAGGAAGTCGAACATGTTGACCGCTTCGCTTATCTTGGGAGTCTCGTCAGTGTTGGTGGCCTAGTGTCTGACGAAATCTCGGAACGTATTCAGAAGCCTCGACTGGTTTTTGCCAACTAATATCTATCATGACACAGGCGAAGTATTTGTTTTCTCATCAAAAGACGAGTGTACTGCACATCAGTTCGCTCCATCCTAAGAATAGAGGACATTCGAATATTAGTAGTACTTGATCATCGAAGTCTTCGAAGCTATGCTCGTATATCCTGGGATCATCGAGGAAGCAATGCTGATATTAAGAAAAAGGTATCAGGTAAAGATGACTGATGAATTGATAAAGTGGTAAATCTCCACCAGTTGAAGTGGTTGGGACATGTGTTCAGTTAGTCAGTTGCAACGTAGAACTTCATGCGTATGTACATAAGTTAAGGTTGCCATACCACATAAGCACAGAGAGGCAAATGTCAAATCAAATCCCATAGTGATAAAGATACTAGAGGTAATAATAGTAATGAATAAGGCTAGGGTTTGAAGATATCATTCAAGAAGTATAATTCAGTGAGATAAGGTTAGAAAGACAAAAGTAGAGGTGCTGACGAATCCAGAAGATTACGATTTGAGAGACCTCAAAGAATGGATGCACTTGCGCCATTGCAAACGATTTTGAGCCATGTCGTTCAAGGTCTCTAACTATTATTGGTGACTTTCGTCAGGCGGACCCCAACCAGGTAGTCGACAACTACCTACATGACTCAGTCCACTAGTCAGTGACTTCATAGATATCTGCAATGTTTTGGTCTGGCCGCCCCTAACTTTCTTCCAACCTACTGCTACACCACAAAACCGGCCTCCAGCAGTTGTCCTTTGGGATATGTGTTATGTGTGTCTAACTATCTTGATACAAAAAAAGAACAGTACAGGATAGTGATATGTTAACCAAACATAACTTTAGTGAAGGTTCTAGGAGTTGTACAGTTTCATTGACAAGATATCACTAGACATAGTCCGGTCTAAAAAGTTCAGTTTTTACAAAAATGAACTGTCCAAACTGAAAAAATCTTATTTGGTTGTATTTTCATCTTTACTATCATCTCTCACATTACACACACTATTTATAGTTCACTTATTTTATTTCTATTTTATTGAACGTGCGTGCTTTTCTGAAAAATTTTCACAATATTACTTTTAATATTTGTGCAAAGCATAAAAACCTTATTAGTATCTACAGAGTAATGATAGAATTTGTTTGTTTGTTGAAAAAAGGAATTCATTTTGATGTAATAAGTTGAATAAAAAAAAGAGAAATTTTAGTTTCACTCACTCAATCAAACAAACACACACACAGAATGAATATTGTTGATTTAGATTTGCTGTAATAAAACTATAACAAAAGATGAAGGTTAGATGGTATGTAAACAGAAAACTGAAAAAAATAAAAAGAGAGAGAAGTCGTTAGAAACAAAAATAGATTTGATAACGACGACCATTCAAGTCCTCCTGTATGTGTTGTGTGATGTATAAGGGTCTTGTGAGTTAATCACAGTCAAGATAATACAGAACAAGAGAAATTTGTTTTTTTTTGTGGTGGTCAAATATGTTGTTGAGACAGGAATGTACGTGTTTTTTTCTTTCTTAACCTTAAATAATAATCAATTAGCGAGAAAATGAACAAAATGAACAAATGAACCAAGGACAAGACAAGACAAGACAAGAATGAACATGTGAGTGAATATTGATTGATGAAATAAAAAATGAACACAACTTACTTCACCATCGGCATCAAGTAGTAAGATTGTGATTTCAGTGCCAGGATGGAAACTTTTATTTTTCATAGTTAAATCTGAAGGAGGATTGTGTGCACTGCCTTCAGCATCTTGACTCCAAATCTTAACAAATGAATGAGATTGAAGGAAAAAAACAATGAATTAAATCATATCGATGCTTACTCAGTCAGTCAGTTGCAACGTAGAACTTCGTACGTAAGTACATCAGTTCATGTCACCATACTACATCAGCACAGAGATGTAATTGTTAATTCAAATCCAATAGTAGAAGAGGTAGTAAAGGTATTAGAAGTAATCGGAGAGGTTAGTAATGACAATTACCGACATGACTCAATCCACTTGTCAGTGACTTCATGGATTTCTGCCATGTTTTGGTCTGGCCGCCCCTAACTTTCTTCCAATCTACTCGTACACTACAAAACAAAGCTCGACGAGGCAGTCGGTGGTTATGCGTACGCAACACATGTCCCAACCACCTCAACTGATGAAGTTTCATTACTTCATCCATTGACCTGCCATCCTTACCTAGCACCCGCTTCTTAATAACAGCGTTGCTTACTCGGGTGTCCCAGGATATACGAGCAATGCTACGGAGACACCTATAATCGATGCTAGGGAAAAATGAGCAGTTTGTGTAGCAGCAAGACAGGCAGAGGGCGACCATGTCAGAAATAAACTTTAGCCTACAGAGAACTTCAAGTTTTTTTTAAAGATACAAGACACTCTGCTATTAGCTGAACGATCGCGTTGAGCGACACCAAAGTGACCTTGAGCAAAATTCCACCCCTACTTACTAGGTTATGAATTTGTATGCGAAACTAGCGCTAGAGTTTTCTCATCACGAATCAACATCAGCTTTAAAATATCGAAATGCTTGTTTAGCTGTCTGAATGAATGAATTTCATGTGAAAATTCAAGAATCGTTATCTTTTTTAAATCTAACTAGTTTGTCCACATAAACTTGCCAGATTTCTTAACCACACCCTGGTCGATAATATATGAGCGTTTTTTTTTATGAAATAGTTAACAATTAGAAGCGATAAGAATTATTTGATTTACTACTAACCTTTTAACAGGATACATACACACGTGGTAATTATTTATCGATAACAAGGAAATTATATAGACCAGTAAGAAGTAGTGAGTAGCTTAGATACATCAGACCTGCGTCACTTATGGCGCAGGCGAGATATCCGTTTGCTGACTAAAGGACGAGTGTACTGCGCAGTAGTTCGCTCCGTCTTACTTTATGGCTGTGAAACATGGCCAGTGAGAGTAGAAGATATTCGTATGTTACTGGTTTTCGATCATAGGTGTCTTCGAAGCATTGCTCGTATATCGTGGGACACCCGAGTGAGCAACGCTGTTATTAGGAATCGGGTGCTAGGTAAGAATGGCAGATCAATTGATGAAGTATTGAAACTTCATCAGTTGAGGTGGTTGGGACATGAGCTGCGTATGCCTAACCACCGACTGCCTCGTCGAGCTTTGTTGCAGAAATCCATGAAGTCATTGATAAGTGGAGTGAGTCATGTTGGTAGTTGTGGACTACCTGGTTGGGGTCCGCGAGATGATAATAATCGATGGTTAGAGACCTTGAATGACATGGCTCAAAATTGTTCGCAATGGCGCCGGTGCATTTATTCTTTGTGTTCTCTCAAATCCTAATCTTCTGGATTCTTCAACACCTCTAGCTTTGTATTTCTAAACTTTTCTCACTGAATCATACTTCTTGAATAATATCTTCTCATCCTAAGCTCTCCGATTACTTCTAATACCTTTACTACCTCTTCTACTATTGGATTTGAATTGACAATTATATCTCTGTGCTGATGTAGTATGGCAACATGAACTGATGTACTTACGTACAAAGTTCTTCGTCACATCTGACTAAATACATCAGAGCACATGTTATAGCATGCAGAGAAACTCAAACACATTAAAAAAATTATAACTTACAGTACATGTTGCACCTGGTTTAATGGAGAAAGCACGTGAAAATTTATAACGTGTTTCATGGCCACCGGCTTCATGAACAAGTTCCCAGCTACCTAAATTCACTTCCTGGAAAAAATAAAAGTGTTTGATGAAGAAAAAGAACAACTCACATCCAGGTTTGATGATGGTAATTAAATTAATAAGAATAATTAACACCACTAAAAAAAATATATCTCTATGAATCAACTACTATTGTGGTGCGAGCTACTTATAAGTAGTATATGACGTGAGTGTCAACGTAATGTCTGGCAGCAGAAGATGGGGGAAGATCAAGAAAGGAAGAGTGGGGGAAACACAATGAAATTTGTATGAAACACATGAATAGTAGTGGCAATGGATTGATGTTTTGCAACAGGAACAGTCCAGTTCGATAAGATGAACTGATATTTTGCAAATTTACGGTGTGGTTTTCCGATTTTACTGAGTAACTCCGTAATTTTCATTAAATACAATTCGGTCGCCCTCACCTGTGTTCTCGTTCACTACACTATTTTTAACTATGTTCTGATATCTTTAACCTTAAAGGCCCTTAAACTGTCAAAAGCTGATAAAAATCAACTTTCCCTCCCTCGAGGTTGCAACCCGATTTTTTATGTTTGATCTACTCACTGACAGATAAGCAAATATCCGCCGTTCAAATTTGTGTTGGTGTACATGGAAGCGTTACAAAATGCGAGTCCGAGAAACCTAATTCTCAAACAACAATATGACTTGATCTGTAGTACAACTTAGAAAAGTATAGATACCAATTCTGATGATATGGCTACACTGTTTTCTGGATCACACTTCTATATGCCTATGTCGATTAAAAAAAGGCAACAGCTAAATTGCGTTAGGAATTCTATATTCTGGAAAGTTCATCTTAAGAAGTTTGCTTTATCCCAAAAGTTGATATTGAAAGTCTCAGTTGCAATTTACTATCTATCGTCTTTTGATGATAAAGAGTATGGTTCATGTGTATCCAACTGTAGTGAACGAGAACACAGGTGAGGGCAACCGAATTGTATTTAATGAAAATTACAGAGTTACTCAGTAAAATCGGAACACCATATCGTAAATCGTCAATTTGCAAAATATCAGTTCATCATATCGAACTGCACTGTTCCTGTTGCAAATAACATCAATCCATTGTCACTCACTATTCATGCGTTTCATACAAATTCCATTGTGTTCTTCTAACTCTTCATTTCTTGATCTTCCCCCGCATCTTCTGCTGCCAGACATTATGTTGACACTCACGTCATATACTACTACTTATAAGTAGCTCACACCACACAACTACATGATGGTACCACAAAATCGTTGTCCAAACTCAGGATAGGAGTCAAAAGTATTTTTCACTGAAAGTTTTATATAAGCTAATGTAGCTTTGAACATGATATTCTCTTCACTTCAACAAACAATGTGACGTAAACATGAGTACATACACTCGTACTTGGTGGATGAATTATACTAACTACTCAGTTATCAAAAAAAAATAATATGTTCTAGTTGTAATATTCGTTTGAATGTTTTAACAAACAATCGTTCAACAGATATATATATTGACTTTTTGACAACTTATATGCGCACAAGATAAGGTGTTAGAAGAGTTGACCGGATTATTAGATGGTGGTCACCTGATGAAACTTTTGCAAATCGTTCTTAACAATTAAAATATTGAGATAAAGTTTGACATTGTTTTTGTTGTTGTGAAGCTTAACTGATTTAAAATTAAAAACAGAACCAACACGACAGTTATTGCACTCTTCTTTTCGCCTATAAACTCAAACAAGGTTTTTTACTAGACATATATTTATGCGTCTGTTAGGATATTCACCAAATATCCTAAGAATACTATTTTTAGAACTGCAATCCTATTGGTCGAATCCTATTGGCCGAAATTTTGATCGTTCTTACCGTCAGGGTCAAATACTTCAATGTTACCTCTTATTGGTCATCTGGACGGTCAAGGTCATTCAAATCTTCTTTTCTATTGGTCTTCCTAAATTGTCAATGTCACGGACGTTGATGCTTTTTTTTATTCGACCTTAGTGTATAAATACGCGCTATCTGGAAGACTCAATAATTCCGTTTCCCCTGCCTACTTCTTCTTCTGTTTTCGACCCAATAAACATTTTCCTTCCACGGTGTTACGTTCTGATTTCTAGGAGATTTGGAAAAGCCTTTCGGGTCGTATTGTGATATTTGAATTGGACGCCGTTAGGACTGAAGGGTTACGTAGCCGCGTTTACAACAGTGTCCTTACTTTAATCGCATATTTGATTAGCTCAAACTGCCTTGATAATCGAATTTTAAGTTGATATTTCATTGAGGTATTTTACTATGAAGTCAATGATACAACAGATAGGTTTTCATGCACCAATATCTACCAGTAATCAAGTACACGGGATACTGGACATCTCTGTTTCGTCGTAATATATCTGGTTTTAATACAGAGTTAAACAAATTCAATTTCTGTCAAGACTAAACTTAAAACGGTTCACCCAATGATAACAAACACGTTACTATGGGGAAACTTTTCGCGAGGATTACTGAAAGAAACGGTTGAAAATATATATAACTCTGATTATATTCTATGAAGTTTTGTATTACAAACCGGTGAACTGACGTGAACAGTTACAATCGTATTTGGTTTGCATGTTTAGGCATAAAAATTAACATTACAGGGGTTGTGAAGGTTGGTAAGTTACACATTTTTGAAACCATGAATCGATCAATGTTAGACCACCATTAGAAGAAACCTGGAAGCACTGAAAGACGGCCGTTTCGTCCTGGTATGGGACTCCTCAGTATGCGACTCCTGCACTCCACAGGATTCGAACCCAGGAACTTCGGTTTTGTGCGCGAACGCCTAACCATCGGACCACTGAGGTTGCGCAACACCAATATTCATAACCTCTGTAATGAAAATTACCTGTGCTCACTAGTGACTAGCTTCGTGAGGAATCTTCTTCGAGTTCCAGTGGGAAGACGTGACCAGTGAAGTTCAACCTGTTCGGGTGTAGGCAGTGTCTACCGAAGACAGTGTGTATGAGGTTGCGCAACTCCGTGAATTTGATCAAGTTAGACATTAACACTGTTAGATACCGGCTCAGTGGTCTATTGGTTAGGGCGTTCGCGCACAATACCGAAGGTCCTGGGTTCGAATCCTGCGGGATGCAGGAGTCGTGGATGCGCACTGCTGAGGAGTCCCATACCAGGACGAAACGGCCGTCCAGTGCTTCCAGGTTTCTAATGGTGGTCTAAAATTGATCGATTCATGGTTTCAAAAATAAAAATTAACGTACCTTTAAGTATGATGACATATAAAATGCCTAACCAATATTTTTAGTGATTATTTTTAAAAAGAAATTGCTATTTAAAATTACAAGTTAATCTTGCCTCAGTTGAAGTATTATGAATTTTAATCCATTTGCCATGTGTATCTTGTTCTTTGAAAAATTCCACAGGTCCATGTGCATTCAATGAAACTTTATAGGCGAATTTTGTGCGCGATGAACTGTAACCAGTTAGATTGACACTTGACTCATCACTTTCAAAGTCACCATCCATACGCCTACGTTTCACCGGTATGTTGAATGGTGAATCACGAGGAGCTGGTGTCAAGTTGAGTCTGAAAGACAAAGAGGTTAACTGTTAATATTTTTTAGTAACCTACTATGTTCACATATATACGTTTTTAATATTATACAAATGACAGAAATACCATTAGATAAAGTTTTAAAAGAAAAAATTATCTATAACTTTCCCAGTATAAGATTTGAAATGATATTGATACAACTTTACGGGCGTCAGATATGGCTACTAATAATATCTGGATATTTGTAGGCTACCGGTATTCGATCATAGGTGTCGTCGAAATATTGATCGTATTAGGAATAGGGTAGGAGGAGGTGAGGAGATGACGAGTCGACAGATGAATTAGTGAAGGATTGAGGATAACAATATCGGCAAGTGGGAAACCGAAAAACAGCAAACATCACCACACTTTATGCTCATTTTGTAAACACCATATAATTGATTTCGTACAATAATCAGATGCTAAATAGAATGATATTATTATCTCTTGTTTCACTGATTGTGTCACTCACTACTCTACTAGAAACTATTGAATCTTAAGTTTACATTTGGCTACACTGATTATGGTTTGAGTAGTACCCTCGAAATGCAAAATTTTGCTTCAAGATTGGGTTTCATCGGCACTTGGACTAGTGATAGGGAGTGATATAGTCGAACGTGTAGACCGCTTCACTTATCTTGGAAGTCTCATCAGTGCCGATAGTCTGGTGACTTACGGAATCTCAGCACGGATACAGAAAGCTCGATTGGCTTTTGCCAACCTGCGTCACTTATGGCGTAGGCGTGATATCCGTTTGCTGACTAAAGGACGAGTGTACTGTGCAGTAGTTCGCTCAGTCTTACTTTATGGCTGTGAAACATGGCCAGTCAGAGTAGAAGATATTCGTAGGTTACTGGTTTTCGATCATAGGTGTCTTCGGAGCGTTGCTCGTATATCGTGGGATACCCGAGTGAACAACGCTGTTATTAGGAATCAGGTGCTAGGTAAGAATGGCAAATCAATAGATGAAGTGCTGAAACTTTATCAGTTGAGGTGGTTGGGACATGTATTGCGTATGTCCAAACACCGACTGCCTCGTCGAGCTTTGTTTTGTAGTGTAGGAATAGGTTGGAAGAAAGTTAGGGGCGGCCAAACCAAAACATGGCACAAATCATTGACAAGTGGACTTAGCCATGTCGGTAATTGTCGACTACCTGGTTGGGGTCCGCGAGATGATAATAATCGATGGTTAGAGACCTTGAATGACATGGCTCAAAATCGTTCGCAATGACGCCGGAGCATTCATTATTTGTGTTCTCTCAAATCCTAATCTTCTGAGTTCTTCAACCTCTCTTGTTTTGACTTTCTATACTTTTCTCACTGAATCATATTTCTTGAATAATATCTTCTAATCCTAACCTCTTCGATTACTACTAATACCTTTACTACCTCTTCTACTATTGGATTTGAATTGACAATTACATCTCTGTGCTGATGTGGTATGGCGACATGAACTGATGTACTTACGTACGAAGTTCTACGTTGCATCTGACTGACTGACTGACTGACATAAAACAATATAAAACCCGCAGCAAATATTCAGTGTTCATCATATTTTGCACAACCATATCGGTGCTGTATTAGCAAAGAAATAGTTGCTTCTACAACAACGTTCCAACACAAAACCAATGAATAAAAAGTGTAACAGTGTTAAGACACAAGAAGACTACGGATGACAAATTCATTTGCGCTACCAGTCAGTTCTGAATCAGATCACATAAGCTTTTTGAACATTAGTTCAAGCAATCATCATTCCGGCCAAAAATGCAGAAATCTTCACTTCTCAACATGGTTCACACAAACAATGTGATTTCAAGGAAAATGTCACATTTTAATTTGGCTATGGCGAATTATCTTGATGAAACTTGATTCTATGCTAGCCAAACCAAAACTGCACGACAAGGTGTATGTATAGCGTATGTTGATGAAGGTTTGCAACCATATCAATTAATGTAAAAAGCTTGTCTCTAACCACACCATCAATCATCAATTACATCCAGTCAATTTATGCTTTCTTACATTTAATTGTCCCCTTTCTCCTTTTTTTTCTAAAAATAACCATTAACTTACCATAAAGCAACTTCCTTCTTATCGAAAACAAAACTAACATTATTTTAGTTGAGGGAAAATGTAAACTTTTTGATTGGTACCCACCTAGGCATGATTGGAGATTTTTGATGTTACTAATCAGAATCAGTAGTGGTGAAGTTTGCGCACTCATTTTCTACTTTGCATCATTTTGTTCTTCCAACTTAACTAATATTTTCGAACTACACTCCTCATGTTTACCTTTCCTATTCAGTAGATCATAGCATTAACCATTATGATTTTTGGTCGTGCTGAAAGGAGGCATAGCATCTTCGACAAAAGTACATTTGTGTGAATACCTACGTCGTGTATAACCGATTATCACATTATCAGTAAGTTGTAGCATAAAAATAACTAAAAATCGGAACTTCTAAATGTATAACTTAAGGAAACCAGTTGTTACCACTTACCTTGATTCTTCACCTTCTAACATTTTTCGATACATTAATATTTCCTGATCTAATGCAATTTTTGTATTCATGAGGTCAGTAAATTCACGGAAACTTTCTTCTAATTCTTCTTTTAACCGGTTCACTTCTTGGCGTTGGAAATGAAGTTGTGATTCAAAATCTTTTCGTTCATCAGATAGTTGCCGCTCAAGATCTGCAACTCGTCGCTGAAGCAATTCCAGCTCAGCGATCTTCTTTGATAAGTCATGAGAAAGATCATCAGCACGTTTGCGAGCTATCAATAGCTCAGACCGTTGGCGACTAGCATCTTCGGCACTGAAATTTGCAGATGATTTCAATTGCCCAAGTTTGCTCTGAAACATTAGAAACTCATTAAGGAACATGTATACAGAAATAGACAGTGTGACTGAACTACATAATGGTTAGTAAGCCGAAACTATCTACGGACAAAAATTTACTGACCTGGTGCAATACTATGAAATAAAAGCATATATTATGGGTCGAAAGATTGATAATATGGAACATAACCAATAATTACTACTACTATGGCACAGAACTAATAATGGATTTTATGTTTAACTTCAGTTGCCCTGACACAGCTATTATATTATAGCGAAACATGGCCGTTAAGAGTAGATGTTCGTAGGTTACTAGTATTCAATCATAGATGTTTAAGAAGCATTGCTCGTATATCGTGGGACAACCGAGTAAGCAATGCTGTCGTTAGGAAACGGGTGCTAGGTAAGAATGGCAGATCAATTGATGAAGTATCGAAACTTCATCAGTTGAGGTGGTTGGGACATGTGTTGCGTATGCCTAACCACCGACTGCTAATACCTTTACTACCTCTTCTACTATGGGATTTGAATTGACAATCACAGTTCTGTGCTGTGGTATAGCAACATGAACTGATGTACGTACGTAAGTACGTACAAAGTTCTACATTGCTATTGACTGGTTGAATATACAATCCGTATGTCTCTTATTAACAAAACTTTCCGTCTGGAAACCGGATCATCACCAGAAATTTTTGGTTGAAATCCCAATTCTACTTCTCATTACCGATAGGTTTGAACTTATTTTTTTTAAAAGGATATCATCCTATCAAACCGAATAACATATTATAAATAAAGATGTAGCAATTAAATTCCGGTGAAAGCCAATATATACATAGTCGATAATTACTCTAGTGATTAGATAGATCTATTTATCAAGAAAAATCTCTTAAATGGTGACTAATAAGAGGCAGCATTGTTATTTTGTGGCAAGGCTTTGATGAGTTAATTGAAATTACTGGTCTTCAAAATTTATTCGTACGTAAGAAATTCTATGAAAGTTTAACAGTGAAATCCTACATAGGTTTTGACACTCATGCTTGGTGTTTACGTTGTCGTGGATCTACAAACCTGAAGTTTGCCATATGTAAACAACAGCAATAAGTGCAGTGCTGTTTTATTACTACAAACAAACAAGACTTCTACGTTAAGAAATGTATCTGGTAAACATCACAGTGAATTACGTACCTCAAACGTTTCTTCCATTTGTATTTTATACTCTTCCAATTCACATGCCGTTTGATCTCGAATTGATCTAAGCTCTTCTGTCAATCGACTTTCGTATTCAGCCTGTTTGCGTCCTTCAACCTCTTCTTCAATATACATACTGCGTTCAACTAATTTTTCACGTTCCTAAAAGGCATTTTACTAAAACGAAAAAAAAGCAAACTTACTTCATCGAACAGTCGAGAACGGAAATCCAACTGCTCTTTCAAACCGAGAATTTTATTTTCCAAATCTGTTCGAAGCAATGTCTCGGCTTCAAGGTCTCGTTTCATTTCTTCAAACCGTTTTTCTAAGACATGATAATCACTAAGGAGAGGCTATGAGATAAAATATTAGAATGACAACAACCTACCTGATAAGCCTCATGATCTGACTTATACTTACTCAACTCCCTTTCAAGATTTTCAATTTTTCGCTGTAAATTACGATTTTCTTGGTCTCGTTTATTAGCTTTCATTTTCATGTCATTTAATTCATCTCTTAATTGTTTGGAATCTAGTTCAGCTTTTGATTTTTGTTTGGCTAAATCATCGACTAGATTTCTTAGGGCTGTAATTTCATCTTCATATGTTTTCCTGGCCTCTTCAACTTTGCTCTGCAACAATGTTTCTTGTATATAATGCTAGTTACCATTCGTTCCTCTGTAACAGTCTGTATACGTCTCGTAAGTTTTTGTTTGTCAAGCTCTAATTTCCGAACGTAGTCGATGTAACCTGCAAGGCGATCATTTAGATGAGCAAGTTCATCCTTTTCTTCAGATCGACTGATAGTCAAAGGGCTACTGGATCTTTCACTACGAGAAAAGCTTTTTCTAGGACTCCCGCTTGATGAAGTATGGCTACGTTCGATAGTAACGGATCTGGAAAACGATGTCGGACTACCTTCATTTTTCTCAGACTCTGCAGGTTTCTGCTTTTTGGCTCGGGCTGACATCTTACCAGATCTAGAAATATGAAACGTAAAAAGATGAAATGAGAATCATCCTTTCCTGGTGAAATTCATTGAAATGCGAATTAAAATGAGTGGGAGTTAATGTTTAACTTAACAGAGATGGTGGAGACTTACTCGATACAAAGATGGTTACCTAATGAAAAGTAACCTCAGTCAGTCAGCTACAATGTAAAACTTCGTAGATACGTACATCAGTTCAAGTTCCAATACCACATTAGCACAGAGACGCAATGGTCGATTTAAATCCCATAGCAGTAGAGGAAGTAGACGTATTAGCAGTCATCAAAAAGATTAGTGATCGAGTATATCATCCAAGATATATATCTCAGAAGAATTAAGATTAGGAGTTGGGAGAACACAAGGTGTGGATGCATCAGCGCTATTGCTAACGTTTTTGATTCATGTCATTTAAGATCGCTAATCATCGATTACTATCATCTCGTGGACCCCAACCACGTAGTCTACACATACTTTAAAGAGAGAAATCTTTAGCCACTGCTCTTATTTTCATGTAATATGCTCCTAGTATCACAGTGGGATGCACGTTAGTTAAATGCGACAATTGGAGTCATTTTGTGATCAGATTCCGTACGTATGGGAGATATTTTACATACCAATTTGGACGGAACCAAGAAAGGGATAAATCGAACTTAATATGTACAGCAATATCAGCGCTGACATCAAAATAGAAACTAAAGAATTTCGACATCAAGTCGTAATTTACAAGAGCGAAATTTAGTGAAGGTACATCAGGTCTTCACGGTGTCAACATATAGGTGAAATGTGGTTTGTGTAATCATATAAAAGAGATTTTGTAGGAATTGTACTTCATGATCCCCCAAGTGCACTATCCTTATTCCTTAGTAGGATGAGTTTACAAAGGAATTCGTTATTCACGATTAAGTTTGTATACTTAGCTTTCAGTCACATGTCCATAGTGAACTAGTGACTTTACACGACTATCAATTCGTCAAAATGGGTTAGTTTGCCGAATCTACATATAAACACACGTGGAGAAAGCAGTATTATCACTTACGTAATAAAACTAACAAACTGAAACACCGAGACACTTAGTTCCAACGACCGCTGTAACGATAGTCAAGAGGAACTATGTGAATATGAGATCCCTTTACTCCCACAAATTAGGATACCGAAAGAGTATACGCCACACAAGTAGAGATAATATTGTGGAGTGTATGAAAGCACAGTCAACAATATACACATAAGCGGATTAAAAATAGTGTAACATGAGAAACAGCTCAGTTGGAAGCAACTAAGGGAAGCTATTCAGTGAAACTAGTGCTCCCATTCTACAAAGATGCGTACCTAGATTCTCACTGATTTCATTCCTGGACTTTATCTGACAATGTTGTTACTGAACGGCACGATCTCATGGAGTTAGTGATAGCTCAACGCAAAGTCTAATGACTCCTAGTTATAAGAATTCTAACTACTTAGACTGATGCACAATTGTGCTAGGCCATCATGCGTTGGAAAGTATGGTTCAGTGATAGCAGTTGCCTAATTGGTGCAGCAAACAACAGCTTGGAGCATGAGGCATATACCAATTCTCAGTAGACACGCCAGGGAGTCTGAATGTTCAAATAGTATGGATAGTTTGTTTTTAAAACTTGTCGGCAATTAGCAGAGCAGAGAACACATAAGATATCTACTGTGAAATTCTGTTATTGAATAATGCATACTTCGCTTACGAACTGTTAATTCGTTAATATGGGCGACTCAATACTTTAGAAGCTCTAAGAGTACTGCTAACGGAAAACTAGTTTTGCTACACTTTTGGCCCTTAAAAATCAGCTCGTGTTACCTCGTACTGCGGTTACTTCTAGTTTAATGAGATGTAATATTTAGAACCGATAGACGTACCATACTTCAGAAAGGCTGTAATCCATCAATGAAAGATGGTTTCCTTGCTGATATGGACAGACAAATTTGTCACATATATCAATAAATAACTCATATGTATAAGAACTTAGGTGCTGACAGAAAAATAACTCCAATGCTTACGGTTAAAAGAACATGCACCGGGCGTTCGAAAATCTGCAATAAGAACTGGCTTTAGATCATATAAACAAGAGTAGTTCGAAGTAACAAAAACAATAAATCTCAGAGTTGTGGCGAGCATTTAAATTTTATTTGCTTATTTGAGTAATTAGTCACCCCTAGCATCTTTTTGTAAATCAAAAGTTTCAGTCTACCGTCACAATTTTGAAACACTCGTTTCACGAATGTGAATTATGAAGTAAATTATCTTTGGGTTTGCCTAACTTTATTCGGTTCTTTTATAATTGCTTTTTAAAATGTTACTTTTTCGGAGCTTTTCTAAGCTTCCGGTTGAATGAGGAGCATATTATAAATCACATTTAGATGCACTCGAATTGCTGTGACATTTTTGCGAGCACATTTTGTAGCAGGTCGGTTTATAACTTTTTCAAACTTTCTTTCCGCTTCGCTTGAAATTTTTGCCCAAAAATTTTGACGGTCAGTTTTTATCATGTCTGTGAGAAACAGGTGCTGATATTCTGTCAATTTTAGAATCCTTTGCAATAAGTGTGATGTTTAGTTCACTGAAGCCCAGTGCAGCAAGATGCCCAGAACTTGAAATGGCGAGTCATTGTATTCTTAAGATTACTAGCATACATAAATCTGTTGAACGTGAAAGATATATAGACTCAGCAAATGACCTTGTAGTGCACAAACGGGGTTAGCCTAAGTATAATATACGGAAGTGGAAAGGAAGATTTATTTCATCACATGCAAAAATGGTATTATCTTACTATCATTTCGATTACATATCGACTCATGGTATGAATCTATTCCTCAAATCATCCGATGATCGTTATCATTATCGTATTAATGTGAGACAGCTATTATTCTAGTTCATGATTATATTATATTATGACGACAATGGAGTTACGTTAATCGCATGTGGAATCATACTGTGGATATTCTATCCGATCGCAACTCACGGAATTATTTTACATTTTTTGATAGCGAAAATTGTGCATCAAAGAGCGAACACAGGTATGTGCACACTTTTTCTCATTGGGAGTCGTTGCATTTTGTAATTGTCTCCAAGCCGAGGTGACCACAGCCCTGTCAGTGGATGGCTCTACAGTTAGTTAATACAAATAAACACCTTTGCAGTATTACCAAGGTAAATCCCGATAAATTCAGAAGTCAGAAATAAGACTGTTCTGGATGAAGAAGTATATTTATCTCTCACCTCGTGATATCGAATTCCTATCAAGGCCAGAATAAAGAAACGAGGAGAGAAGCGGATTCGGAATGACACTCTTGGAGTGCGAGAGATAATCTTTAGTAAAGTTAAACGAAAGGAGTGCAATATAACAATTATTGTCAGAATTAAGTACAATAATAAATGTTTATATTTCAGCAATTGTTTTATCTTCGTAAAAGTTTACCACTACATCAACCCCCCTAGAATGTGTTCACACTTCCGACACGTAGCAGTTTCATGCAGAGGGGGAGCTGGTCGGCTAACAGGCGATTGTAGGGCGGAAGGGTTGGCGAGCAGGAAGCGACCAGTGAAGCTCGAGTTGTCACCGGAAGTATTTTGCGTTGAACTGTACCAATAGTAGCGTGACAAGATTGTTGCTCTGGTTGGCCTGCCAGTGTCTGAAGATTGCTTTCGTAGGGTTTCGTACTAGAAAAAGCCGCAGACTTAAGACGGAATCAGATTGAGCAAGTTAGCCAGAAATGACCATCACGACCAAATTCGAAAACCATACGTACGCCAGATTCATTCGGAACCAGAACATCGACTGAGTGCGGTAACAAGGGCGTGGGTGATCAGGTCAGCTTTCAACAATATTGACTGAAGTCGACGGTGCCAACAGAGTGATGGTCGTAGACATGGGCTCAGAATACAGAATGAAAGAAAAAGAGAAAATTGTAGCATACATGTAGTCTGGAGATAGTGTCCTATCTCGTATCCGTTAATACGTATGGGTAGGGGTATTGGATCTCGGACTAGCAAGTAGGGCACTATCATCGACGTGTGCTGGCTTGAGACGGTCAACATTGACAATCTCGACGCAGGCATGAAGATCTGTTGACTTGGACTTGAAGATGGGATCCCCGAGGTATCTAGCGTGAGATCCGAAGTCCTTCGTAAGTATAACGGATTTTTTACTCTTGCAGTTCGCTCCAACTCGAAAAGTGCAGGTTCATACGCGTCTCACCCAGTCCGGGACCAAAACACTATAATTCTGGGAGAAAACGGTTCTATTTAATGATAAAAAGGGAAATACAGACAATCACCAAAAACAATATTACACCTTCGAGTTTCCAATTACCACAATAGGTTCTGTTTGTGGAAGAATAAGTGCTTCCAGTCAGTTACTACTAAAGTATCAAATCCAAATATGGCTGTAGCCATATGAAATATCAAATTTAAACAACATACGTACAGTTCAGAAGGAAACATAAAAACTTCAATATAAGCACAAGATATAGAAATAATAACAATATACAATGATAAAATCTCAAAATGGAATCAAATAAAGTACCAAAATATCAACAGAAAGAGTCAGGCATATCATAACGCAAATATATATACATGGAGGGATTTTCCAAAAACAAAACCTTCAAAACAGATTCTACAGTCAGGCTGTTGCAAAGGTTTGCGTACCGAATCGACTCGTATGAAAACATGAGAACACATAGATAACTCTCGAGGGAGAGCGACCTGACGATGTTGTACTCGAGTTGACACCGAATTCAGTACTTGTATAAATTCAGACAATCGTTGGATGTAGTCTGATTTATTGAAGTTATCACTGCTCTGTGGTGCGAAAAATTCCCCAGGCAGACGCAATGTCGTTCCGTGTATCATTTCAGCGGCGGAACATTGAATGCTGCTTTTTAGCTCGTTCTGATGCCTAAAAGGACGAGCGGTAAGGTTTCGTACCAAATGTTGTTTTCGTGTGCTCGAAGAGAGTTTTTGAGTTGGCGATGAAACCTTTCAACTAAACCGTTTGAAGATGGGTGGCAGGCGGGAGTGCGTATGAGCTCCGTACCAAGCAACCGGGTTAGCGAGGAGAATAGTTCGGACTCTAATTTTTTCCTCGGTCAGTTGTGACAGTCGAGAGACAACCCTACAGAGCTATCCATCGTTCTACGAAGTGGTGAGTCACTGTTTTCACCGTAATAGAAGTGATGGGAATAGCTTCGAATCATCTTATGAAACGATCGATGCACGTGATTATGTAATCACACACATGCGATGGTGGCAATGGTCCTAATATATTAATATGAACGTGATCGAAGCGAGCATCAGGCGTAGCAAATGTGCAGATGGGGGCGGCTACTTGCCTGTGCCTTTTCGATCGTTGACACTGTAAGCACTGATTTACCCACATAGGGACATCTTTATTTATGGAAGGCCAGAAGTATCGTGCAGCGATGAGATGTATTGTGGCTGGGAAACCTGGAGGAGACAACCCATGATGGGCGTCGAGGACGAGAGAATGATAAGC